GCCCCCAGAGCCGCTGCACAGCAGCAGTTGGGAACCGCTGATTTAAAGGAAAGAAGAGATTTATGCATGCTTCTGTTAATGGAGAAGTGAAATCCTACCTGCTACCCTGACAGCCAAGCCTCTTGCTAACATCGCGTTGCAGGAGCCCTTCCAAAAGGGACTTTAGTTCAGGAGAAAATGAATCTGGTAACTCCACATTCTGAGGGATGAAAAAGGAATTGTGACATGAATTCTTTAACTAGTTCAATCTGACACCATCACATATGAAAGGTAATTTATCCTTGGAAGAGTTGAACAGCAGAGTTCCTGAATGAATACATTTGAAATAAAGTTATTTCTCAAAAAACGTGATGAACAGAATTGCTTAAAGAACATGTAATTGGCCAAGCATTTTCAGTTTAAATTAAAAGATCATTAGAATACTTGCCACGGTGAGCGTCATCCGGTCAATCTCATGCTTGTCTTTGGTTTTGTGCTGTCTGAAAGGACTGTGACTGTAGAAATAAGAAAATGCACTAATAAATGTAAAGTCATAACATATCCTCTTATTTCAGCTGTGACAATTCCAGAAAAGAATGCAGTATTCTGTTAGTCACATTCTTCAAACTCATCAATCCAATCCTGAAGAACAGTAAAACAAGCAGTGAAACTTTTAGCATTACCAGGGAAACCAGACTGATCAGATACTGCATAGAATTCAATAGTATGAGTGGGAAACTTCCTGTAAGGAAGTGGCCTCCAACATTTTTAACCACAAGGTCACTTTTTCAATTTAAGTGCAATGTAAGATCTACCTCAAACCCAAATACACTTGCCCCGCTTCTTCCTGCCCCTTCTTTGAGGCTCTGCTCCTGTTCCAATCCTTCTCGGAGGCCTCACCCCATATCCCTTCATCTCCCATGCTCACTCACTTGCACCAGGCTGGGGTAGGAGGTAGGGGTGCAGGCTCTGGTCTTGGGCCAAGGGGTCTGGAGTGTGGGAGGGGCTCGGGGCTTAGCCCAGGGTGGGGGATTGGGGTCCAGGAAGGGTTTCAGGGTTCAAGCTCTGGGAAGAAGTTTCGGAACAGGGGGACTCATGTCTGGGGCAGGCGGTTGGGTGCAGGAGGAGGTTCAGGGCTGGGACAGGGTTTCAGGAAACAGACACTGGCTGGGCACTGTTTAACTGAGATGGCTTCCGGAGCAGTGGAGTTAAGGCAGATTTACTCCTGCCCTGGCCCTGCACCACTCTTGAAAGCAGCTGGCATGTACAGCAATGGCTTCATGCTGCCATGTGCTGCCCCTCATCTATAGGCACTGAGCCCACAGCTTCTACTGGCCACGGTTCCCTGTTATTGATCAATGGGAGCTGCAGGAGTGGTGTCTGCAGGCAGACAGCATGTGAAGACCCCCTGTTCTGCCTTTCTGAGGGACTGCAGGGATATGCCAGCCACTTCCAGGAGCAGCAATTACCAGAGGGATTACCCCAGCAAAGACAGGTTAGGCATTTGTGAACTCACTGCTCAAAGAATTAAATATAAGTGTAAGAGAAATGAAAGTTATGAAATGCACAGACCAGTTAAAAACCCAACATAACTCACTTTGCAAGCAGTATAAGTAACAACAATTCCCCACATATGTGTTGGGAGATGCGAGTGAAGGACAGTGAGTAATTCTAGCTTTGCTCCACATGTGAAAGCCTCACTGACATCAGTAAGTCTTACATTTAGCTCAATCACAGAATATGGCTTGCGTCTTTCATGATGTGGGGATTTTGTGTCAGTATTACCTGTTAGCATGTGTAGGAGTTACAATACCCACAAAGATTTCCCCTGAGTGTCAAAGGGGAAATTGCATTACAAAATGTAGCACAAGTCCCCTGGTTAGAGCAGGTCGCCAGACCTAATGAGAGAAGTGAAGGGTTTCTAAACAACAGCTAATCTATTTGAATACAATTACATTAAGGAATAATAGGCTCTTGCTGTTTTTCTTAGCCATAATCCAGGTCTCAAGTGAATAAATTGAGGCCAAGGGAACCAGAATTGCAAAGAAAAACAGTGAAATTGTCACTGCTGCTGTTATACTACTCTTGTCTGTTTAGGAAGGTGGATGGGCCAGGGGGGCAATGGGTGAGGCCTGCCCCATAACCCTTCACGGTGCCAGGGTAGGGAAGCTGGTGAGAGTCAGCTCCTCAGAGAGCTGGAGAGGACTGGTGAAACCACTCCTCAGAACCTTGGAGAGCCAGAAGGGACCAGTGAGGCCTCCACCCAGCCACTCAGAGAGTCGGGGGTAGGGTGGGGTGGGAACTAGTGACACTCGCAGCCCTTCTGAGATCTGGAGGGGGGAAATGGGTGAGGTCAACCCTCAGCTCTTCGTAGAATGGAGGGACATGGAATTGGTGAGCCTCCCTCCCTCGGCCCCTCAGAGACCTGGTGGTGGGAACTGATAAGCCCTCTCCCACACCATAAGAAAGCTTAGAAGGGACTCTGAAGCCTCCTCTCAGGGCTTCAGAGAACAGGTGGTGGGGGAGCTGCGCGAAGTTTCCTCTACCCTCCCAGCTCCCGCCCTTTGAGGAGCATGTGGCACTTCAAAGTGCCGTACACTTGCACAGGGCGGGGACAGGGAGAAGGATGCTCCACACAGCTTTCCCACCCCTAAATCCTGATTGGCCTGGGGTAAGGGGAGCGCGTGAAGTCTCCTCCTGCCCTGACAGGAGTGCAGAAGTGCTGTGTGCTCCTGGCAAGAGAGGAGGGGGTTGGGTGGGAGGGGGCTTGACTGGCCTGGGGGTGGGGAAGCATGCGAAGCCTCTTCCTGCCCTGCCAGGAGCATGGGGGTGGAGTGGGAAAAGGGAGCAAAGAGGCTCCGCCAGCCCCAGCCCGATCATGGTATGGGAATGGGGAAGCCCAGAAGCTGCCCTCCATTTTCCAGTTTAGGCCCTGCCCCTTCATGACTGGCTCTCTCCCCTTCTTGCCATCGTCTTACCCTCTCCCCCAGGAATGCAGCTTTAAGGATCACAGGGGAGGGTCTGGTGCCGCATAGTGGCAACAGTCGGGCCCTCTTGCACTCCCTGCAGTAGCAGAAGCCACAGGAGAAGCGACACGCACTAAGTGAGCACATTTGCTCTCCTTCAATCCGCTTCTCCATGGCTCCTGCCATCAGTGGGAGTGCGGGGCAGACGGGAATGTGGAGCCAAACCTGTCTCCCCAGGATCCTCTAAGCTGCGTCTTCAGGGAAGAGGTGCCATGGGGGAGATGGTGAGAAAGGGCAGGGCTTGGGGACACAATTGCTTTGGCCAGGGCTGGCCTGTGGGCTGGGAGTTGGGGATCCCTGCTCTAAATACTTCACTGGGAGCTAAAGATCTTTTTGCAGTATGTGGTCTGTAATGTGTATGGTGCCCCAGGTGTTTTTAACTCTGGAACTCTCTGGTAAGGATCCTATGTGTCCCCATATGGCCAATGGATGGGATAACAGTAGTGGACTACCTGGTGGACTATCTGTATTTGACACTGTCTCCCTAGTTGTCAAATACAGATCCCAGAGAGGTGAGGGTCATCATGAGTTTCTGGATACCATATTTGGCTAGTTTCTCTTGAAGTGACTCTGGAAAGAGTCAACTGACTCAAAAAGTGGGGCTTTTGGTGTCAACTGTCTTAATGTCACAGAGCAAAAGCCTGGTCTGGGAGAGCAGTGTCTTACTGTCATGAGTGAAGGATAATATAGGCATGGGAAGGCATTGCCTTCCCTAAAAGACAGGGATGACCATGCCCATCACGCTCTGGCCAGCTGGGGAAGGGGAAGGCTGACACTTTAGCTGCAGTGTGGTTGCTTCACCAACCAGTGATGTAGGCCAGGAGGTGGGAGCTGGTTTTGCACGGCTTCCTGGTGCTGGAAAGCAAGGTACAGAAGGGATGGGGCTAGGGCTGGGGAGCCCAAGCCAGGCCTTCACCCACCGCCCATGTTGACTGTTCAGAAACCTATGAGAATAGGTGAGAGGCATGTGGACAGTGGAGTGACATCTCTTATGCACACTGGTGCGTAGCAGGGAATGCAAAACACACTGTATGGAATAGCTAACAGAATGCATATTACTAATTTTATAGCCAAAGGGATGGGGCTAGGGCTGGGGAGCCCAAGCCAGGCCTTCACCCACCGCCCATGTTGACTGTTCAGAAACCTATGAGAATAGGTGAGAGGCATGTGGACAGTGGAGTGACATCTCTTATGCACACTGGTGCGTAGCAGGGAATGCAAAACACACTGTATGGAATAGCTAACAGAATGCATATTACTAATTTTATAGCCAGAACATAAAAGGCAAAAGATTTCACTCACCCTCTCAGAAGTTTGAAAAGCATACAGCCTAAAGAGAACCAATCTGCACTGCTGTCATATGCTGTTCCCTTCTGAAGCACCTCAGGAGCCATATATCCATGGGTACCACTGGGGGAAATGAGGCAGGAGGTGGAGAATGAGGTCAACAGAATTTTGATTACAAAACAAAATTCATCTCTTATCAACACCTGCCTTTTCCCAACAAGAAAGTCTGTCTAGAACATGGTGACTTTGTTCAGTAATTCTAAATTGAAATCACACTGACCATTCTTACACCAATTTGGATTTCCATTTTCTGTGAAGCCATGGAGGAACGCTTTAAAAACATTTATAATGAAAAGAGTTAGGCAACCTAAATTTCAGCCTTTTGTCAGAGAAGGGGCTAGAGAAGAGGAAGCTACAGTAGTAAAGAGTATGTTTTTGCTGTTTTTTTAACAAGCTCCTCCTTCAAGCACTGCCTTCCTGCCAGAAGAAAGAGTGCCAGATTCTCTGCTGCAGCTGATCTCCACTTGGCTCCAGAGAGAGAAAAAGCATCAGAGGCCCCTGATTCTGAAGACCAGTATGCACAAGCCCTGGTTCTGAAGAGAGTTAGGGCAGCTTGGGGCTATTATAACTCATAAAGTGGGTCTGAACTCTGTCCACTATACCTCCCTCACATTCTGGTTCTCTCACATACCTCCCCTATACCAGGGCAATGAATGAGGGCAGCTGGCTACTTTCTTCCTCCAGGGAAATTCCCTCCTTATCACTCATGTTTGGCCACAGCTGCTGCCCATGTCTAATTTGTAATCTTTTTGTGGACTTTAGGGAGGACCAAATACATCCTTTGTGCAAATACACTGAAGCCATACCAAGGATGAATCTGGCCCTAAGAGTGCATAGTGGCACAAAAATATGGTAACTGTCCACACAAAAAAGAAACAGAAGTTCAGTTACACCTCTGTAATTCCATTGAAGCCAGTGGATGTAAATGAGAGAGCATAATTTGGCCTAAATACTAGCAAAAATATGGACAGACATATACAGGAGCACAATAAACTCTGAATTTTAGTTCATTTCCAATAGGCCACCACTTTGGATAATTAAAACAATCTGGTGCTTCAATCAAGAAAGGTTCTTTTTTACTCTGAATGATGGCCCATGAAATCATGGGCCATTTTCCAGTCTACGCCTACGTATCAGTTGTTACAACTGCACGGAATGCCAGAAATTAGATATGGAAGAGAACTAGTAGGTCATCTAGTTTCTTTCCCAGCAAATGCAGGATTGCTCCCTACTAGAGATGTAAGCGAGTAGTCAAGTCGACTACTAACTTTCCTACCCCATGCCCCTTGCTGCTTCTGTATCAGAGGCAGCAAAGGGGCAGGGAACAGGAGCTAGTGCTGGGGGTAGCCAACTTAAAAGTTGGTTTCCCCAATGACTATCTCCACAGTGCCACCTGTCTCCTCTCCCATGCTGCTGTCTCTATCAGAGGCTGCAGGGTGGGAAGGCAGAGGGCAGGAGTC